GAGAAACTGACATCCATTAGACATGGCATGTGGAATTAGAACTGTCTATCCACTCAAGCAAAATAAAGGGTTCAGTTCGATATTACAATGACCAAAACGTTATGATAAATATGGCAACAAAAATGAGTACATAGTCCGAATAATGTAAATAGTGTACATAATACCTCATCTCAGAAATATAGACAGATGTTAATTTTGCTGTTTAGAAAGAAAAACCAATGATGTCTACTCAAGTACATCCACCCATTAAATATAACATTTATAGTAATAATATATACTAGCAGGACCTGTGTAATTCCCACGGACTGACTAATAGAAAGTTGAGAAAACAAACTTTTTCTACATATATGTATGCATAAAAATAATGCATTGAGGAAGGAGAAATTAAAATCTCTACATATAGAATGAAATATTTAGGCAGCAAATAGCAAAATTGTTATATTTGTACAGGTATATTTACAAATACATAAAGTCTAGATATAAAATCTATTCCTTTTTAATATACTATACTCATAGGCTGGGAAAATAAACTACCCAGAGATATACTTGGGAGTATATATCATGTATGTGAAGATTGCTAATGCCAATCAGTCCGTAGTACTCCCCACTCCCAACATAGAGCCTTACCAGTTTCCTTCGATATGAATACAGAAAACAATGGACCTATATATGTATAAAACTATATAATACATGCGACATATAAATAGTTTCCTCTTTTTAGAGTTATTTTATATATATATATATATATATAACACATACCTAATGCAATCAAGTGCCACTCCAGTCCTTCAAGTCAGTACCTCTTGGCAGACAATGTTCACCCTCTTCTCCTTCCTTGTCTGTCTCCATCACCCTAACCCTTACATATGAGACTTTGTGAGCTTTAGCTTATGCCACATACATTTGCTTGTGACTGAACACTGGCTGAGGTAAGAACATTCCCACCTTCTTAAATGTCTGCCCCTGTGACTTGTTAATAGTCATGGCACATGACAAGCGGACAGGAAACTGGGTTCTCTCCAAGGTGAATGGCAAGTTAGAGTCACTTGGAGCCTAGCTTTATTCTGGGGGATGAGGACAAATCTGCCAATTAGTCAGCTACTAATCAAGGAAGTCTCAGTTCGAATGTTGATGCATGGCCACCAATTCCAGTGTTGTACCATTGCAGAATCCATTCTGGATAGAAATATTATGAAGAAGCATTACTATTTTAATCTCAGTTTATAAGGAGGCATTCCAGATGGTGTCAAAGAGTTTAGAGATTTTAGTGTGTATTCCTCAGCAGGATAATCTGTCATAACTTTATCTGTACTATAATCGATGCAGCAGTCACCTAAAATTTGTCTCAAAACTTCTTCATTGATCAGGAGGCAGTCTGAATTCTTTGTCAAAAGAATTACTCTGCTCCTTGTCTCTTTCTCAGATGTATTGAAGATATCATCCACCAGAGAGCCGTCAACACATGAAATTTGAAGAACTCCTATGTTATCAACAGCAAGATTAGATTGTGAAGCTGCTGATGTTCCATTGCCAAGATGTCAGAGTCATGCTCCAAATTCCCTTTGATCTGCTATTGTCCTGATGTTTTAGCTTAATCTGTATTGGATAAAAATCAGGCATAGAGGAGAATTTTTAATATGAAATAATTTTTAATACAGATTTCAGTGATTCCCTCGCTAGTTCCTCTTGGCAATATGGGTAGGACTTGCCTAAAGTCTCCCAACAAGAGAATAACTTTACCACTAAAAATAGCAACAATGTCAGTGATATCTTGCAAAGCTTTATCAATAACATGAAGTGCAAATGAAGGGATTATAGAAACCTCATACAAGATGATCAAATCCAGGTTTCATAAATAATTTGCATGGTCTGAAGCGGCTGGTACATTACAAACACTGGCCTCCATGAGTGGGATAGACAATTTGAACAAAGTATGCATAGTCTTTCCACGTGACAGTAGTATAGAGGCAATCCCTGTCCAAGCACCACTTCACAGGTTGCAGTTGTTCCTTTGCAGATATGAAATTATGATATTAAATGTATGTTTTACCACAGCCTTCTAGCGCATCTACATAGAAATAGGAGTGATTGTGTACCTCACCTCTCCTTATCTACAGATTCAAGCACAGCATTGGTAATCATTCTCTGTTCATCAGTAAGTGTTGCAATCACTGGGTGATCAATGTCTTCATGAGGGTCAAGCTGTGGTACTCCAGTAGGTTCAGGTAGCTCAAATGCTAAACAGTTAATGCCATTCTCTATCAGAATGGCATCAATTGAGTGCAGTGCCATGTTTTCTGCATGGTCTGCATTAAAAACAGTGCAAGAAATCTTCAATCATGGATTCCTTGCAAGTGGTCCACAGGTGAATAGTATTTGCAGGGTTAATACATGTGCACAGGGCAGCAAACATAACACAAAACTCTAAGGGCATCCAACAGGCAGTAGCTTCTAGCAAAGCATGTTCCAGTGTGTCTGTTTGAAAAGACCATATCTCAAGCATGCTGCCTTAATTGTTGGCAAGATTTCTTCTTCTAAAGTGTACAAATCCTGGAAGCTCACGGTGCCTGAAACATGCAGCAGCAACATTTGCAATAGTGAGATGGAGTGGGTGAGGGTGTTTATCTGAAAATCTCCACCAGTGAGATGCCGAATACAGATCATTCCTGAAGAGTGTAACAGATGGATGAAGTAACTAAGGAAGGAAGAAAGGGACAAGCACAATTATAACAAGGTTATTTGATTCAATTTCAGTCAAGATCATGAAGACTGAAAACCTGTGCCATGGATAAAATGTGAACTCCACAGTCTTTTCAAGAGTATGCTGTATATTATGAGCTTTGCCAAGATTACAAACCCAGTGTGCAATAGTGGAGCAGTTCTCTACTAATTAAAAAAATATTCCTCTACCCAAGTTTAAAATAAGATTTAAACATACATTAAACCAAAAGAGGAAAGTAAAGCCGAAAAAAAGTTAATAATTGGCTGCTCAGTTCCCAACCAAGGCTGGAGACTATTTACATTATTCAGACTATTGTTTTCATCTTTGTCGCCATATTTATTACAATGTTTCGGCTGTTGTACGCTCTGGTCTTCTTCAAGTGGTTAGAATGTTGAACTGAACCCTTTACTTTGCTCACTGGGGTAGACTGTTCTAGTTCCACATGCCATGTTTAATGGACATCTGTTATCAGTTATCTCCTATTAATTCTCCTCTCCAAGTTCTCCACTGCCTTAACTGGGTATTGAACTCATACTCTTTGGGTACTTTCACTGGATCTAACTAATGCCTTTATCCAATGTGCCATGTACATAATACCTCATCTCAGAAATCTAGACAGATCCTCAAGGCTGGAGAGTCTGGTCTACCCTGCTATTTAACCCATAGCTGGTGAGTGAAGGGAAAGATCCATTCCTTTACCAAGGCTATTTATGCAAATGGAAACGTAATTAGTTCAGCTGGAAATCAAACTCAGCTCACTGATTTCTCATACCAAGCCATTAACCACTACACCACACACACACGTCCTTCCTAAATATAGAAAGAAGAACAAATTAAAATAAGTTGTTTTCCTGGCAGTCTCCATGATCATCTAGAATCATTGCCAGACCCTATTTGTGTGATCAGGTGGCTTTGAGACTTCTTCACAAATCTTACAGCATTGTTGAATAAACCTAATACGATTCATAAATTGAAAGTTGCCAATTTTATAACACCGCAAGTAATAAACAGTTCATGTAATCAGTTAGAATTCTTCAAAGAATGATTTGCCCAGTGTTGGTTTCATTGTCTCTCTTCATTTCATCACAACAATATAACAGTAACTTGTTTAGGTAATGGATGACAGCCAGAAGAACCAGCCACAGGGACATTTAGATTCATGTCTGTCACATTGTTATTTGCACCAAAAGATATTGTTGGATTTTGTCAAAACTTGAATCCATTTCACAGATCTTATTTTAAAAGTTACACTTAAATGCAATCTGTCAGGTTTTAATATACAAAGACGATCACTCTCTAACTAGTTCCTGTTCTTATAACCTTAATGTTGGCTTATCATGTTGAAACACAAGTTCCCATATGATCCCCGAAGTTAAGCAAAGTCAGGTATGGTCAGCACCTAGATGGGTGACCAATTGAGAATTCCAGGTGCTGTAAGCTAGGATGTGCAGGTGGTGTGGTGATTTGAAATTGTTAGTTGGAGAGAAAAGTTCCAATTCCAGTTGGGTTCATTATATTCACTTACATACAAATACCCCCAAGAAAACAATTAATCCACCTCTTCTCCCTCCAGCTATGGGTTAATTAGTAATACTTGTATTACTAAACCATTATTATCTCCAAAGAAAAAGAAAATCTTACAATCTAAAAATATTTTTTGACTTTAAATAACCTGCAAAGGTTTTATAAACTGTAGAAGAGGAATCAATCACACAAACTAATCTTAATGTAATTTAATTTGAATTATATATATATATATATATATATATATATACAAGCTCATTAACTCATCAATAGTTACTGGAAAATATGATATTAATTATACTTTTCTAAGAATAATCTTATATAAAATTACTTGGTATTATAGGTTTGTAAAAAATCTGATATGAATTTAGGTTTCTAAAAAAAAAAATAAAATAAAAAAAATGTTATTAATGTTTTAGAAATCAATCCAGTATTAAAGTTTCCTGTAAAAATTTGATATTAACATACATGTGTAAAATAAATATGGCAATAATAAGAGTATAAAAAAATGTATTAATTCTTCCTATAACCTATTAATGTCACAAAATTCATTCTATAACCACCATTAGTGTCACAAAATTTTGACCTATAACTATCAGTGTACAAAATTCATATTTTATAACCTATCAACCTGTCACAAAATTTTTTCTATTTTTATCAGTGTCACAAAATTCTTTCTATAACCTATCAGTGTCACAAAATTCTTTCTATAACCTATCAGTGTCACAAAATTCATTCTATAACCTATTAGTGTCACAAAATTCATTCTATAACCTATCAGTGTCACAAAATTCATTCTATAACCTATCAGTGTCACAAAATGGCCTGCTGGGCATTGTTTGAATGTTTTTTAGATACATTTGTTAAGGAACACAACTTTTTAATGTTTTAAATCAATTTAAAAAAATGAAACATATTTCTTGAAATTTTTGTTTTAGTTGTAATTTCAAGCTAATAGATTAAATTTATTATTTCCAATAAACAAAATACGTTACCTATTTTAAAACTAAATTGACTGGAAGAAGCTTTTTTGTTTATTTCCTCATTTTTTTAAAAATTTTAACCATCGTTTATCACAATTCTCTTTATTAAAATTATTCCCAAAATAAAATTTAATTAAACTTTAAATCATCTAATATTGCTCAAATAAAGTTTCATAAATCTGATTTGAAACAAATATCACCTACTTTTAGTTTAAAATATCACAGAAATGCACTTTTTTCACACGGAGCTAGGTGCTTGTTTAAGGGTGACAATTTGACTGATAGAAATTTATCTAATTTCAAAAAGTGGAATGAATATTATTAAAAATGCAGATTTGTTAAATATAAAGGTGAGCACATTTTTTATATGGCGTTTTTAACTACCAATTTTAAGGGAAAAAATTGATGAATATTTCTCTTTAATCTAATGTTTTATTGAATTTAGTTATTTTGGCTTTAAGTTTACTATGGTTATTGCTTTTATTTTCTGATAATGTCATGTATAGGCTTCAATATTTGCAAAAATCAGCATGTTTATACTAAAATTCAAAAATTTCAAAATTCTTTTAAAAATATTATGGGTGGAGGGCACTGAATTGTAGTAAGCTGTTGCATTTATGATTAGTAAATATAGTTTTTAATTCATAACAATATCACCTAATCAACAGAAATGACTACAGAAATTTAAAAGATTTAGAACTTTATAAATTATTCTAAATAAAATTTTAAAAAATGAAAACAATTCTTGTAAAAATTCATTGTTCATCAGAAAAGACCTTTTCATGAGACAATAGTTTCCATAATATATCTTATTCATAAAAGCAATTAAAAGCTTTTCTAATTAACTAAAACCTTAGTTTTATTGTATTTTTTCTGTTTTATGATTCAGATTCTGTAGAGTGAGTGGTCCTGTTTGACCAAAAAACAAAAAACCTGATTTAAATTCTCCAATTAGTTCTGCATATAACTAATATAGACATTAAGTCGTTCCAAAAATAAATTTCTCAAAATTTCATAAAATTAAATAAGTGGGGGCAATAACAGATATAAAAAACTGCTAAATAAGATCTAATTTAAAAAAAAAAAAAAGAAAGAAAGGCTTTTTAAAAATAACTTCCATCATTTTAAATAAGTCCAGCAATTTTCATTAAGATCTGACACATGACACAGTGGATAAAGGCGTTAGTTAGATCCAGTGACAGGACCCAAAAATTTTGATTTCATAACCCAGTTTTTAAAATTTTGGAGAAAAAAAAATGAATTAACAGGAGACAACTGATAACTGAAAACCATTAAACATGGAACTAGAACAGTCTACCCCAGTGATAAGAAATAAAGGGTTCAATTTCAACAGTCCAACCTGAAGAAGGCATTTTATAACTTATAGCTGAAATGTTTTTAATTATACATAACAAACCAAAGGACAATTAAATAAATAATATACAAAATACCTCATCTCAGAAATATTAGACAGATGATATTTGATTTTTTGCAAGAATTTTCAAATCAATGTTTTTTTTTTTTTTTCACCAGAAAAATTAAGCCCAAATTCCCTATACTAATATTTGATCCTCTTGCTGACACATGAAAAACACGCTTCTTAAACAAAATTTGAAACATTCTAAAACAGATGAAAAAAATATAATTTAATAAATCAAAACATCCTTTGCTCTTTCCTCTTAATAATAACATGAATAATTTGATGATACAACTTTATTTTTAGTAAGTTTGGGGCCTTTTGGTATGTTTAGTTTTTAGTGAATATTTGGAGGTATTTTGTTGAAAAAGAAAGAAATTCTAAAATTTATGTAGGCCACAATCATGAACCAATTTGCAATTGCCTTGTATATACTGACTAGTTTCAGTAAAAGAAAAAAATTAAAAATGTATGACAATGAACATGGAGAAGATATTTTTGGGGGGAATTTTTAGAGGATAGTTTCCATAGAAAGCAAATATATTTGAAATCATTCCCAGGGTGTACTGATCATTCTTCCTAATCTGTAAAAAAAGCAACATTTGTTCAAGGAAAAAATGATTGCAAAGAAATACTGAATATTCAAATAATAAAATGTTTACATTAACATGGTAGTAAATAGGATTTTTTATATTTCTGCCTTGTTTGCCAACATCCCTTAAGGTTTGTGATTTCATATTTTCTCTCTTCTTTGCTACAATTTTTGTTGATGGTTTGGAACTTTATCTTTGACAAGAAAAAAAATGATTCCCACATGAATATAAACAAATCTCCTTCAGAAATTACACATTTTTTAGCAGTTTCTTGAATAAATTTATATCGCTCAACAGGATAATCTTTTTTCCCTATTTTACACTAACACGTCTTCATATATATATATATATATATATATATATATATTTATATATATACACAATCACATTATATATATATATATATAATAAAAATATTTAAGAGGATAGAATATTGATAAACTCAATATCAAGGACAGATGTAAGAATATAATATAAAAGGAATCAATTTTAATATTCCATGGTTATAATTTATTACATTTATTATAATTTCCAATTCATCAGACCTACAAATTCAAAAAATTTTGAATTTCTAGGTCTGATGAATTGGACTGTGATTTCAATTCCAAAAAATAAAATTATTAACCATCCTTAGTATTGTTTTGAGCCTTATATATATATATATATATATATAAATAAATAGATAAATAGATAGATAGAGAAATGATGTATTTTTTATTTATTAATCAGAGATATTTTATCACTTCAAAGTTATTCTTAGCGGATATCCATATTTGAGTAGGAACTCCATTTATTTGAGAAATCTTATTAAAACAACTAATTTTTCCTCAAAAAATGGATGGTCATATTTAATGCTGTTCTAGATGGACATGATTCTTTATTTTTTTTTTTATAAGATTTCTCAATATTCAGGTTAGTAGGCAAATGAAAATAGTGTTTAAAATAAAAGGAGCATCTACTAAAATATGGGTATCAATTAAAAATGATGTTTCAATTTTTATATATATTTGAATGAAAACTCCAACATTTTTAGGCATTTAAAACAACATGCCTGGCCGCATACACAATTCCGTAAAATACTTGTCGAAAACACAATTACTTCGACATCTAAAAAACAATAGACAAAAACTAAAAATCCTTGAAGCATTATACATCAAACAGTTGAAACCCAACCTAAACAAAATCAATTATGGCATCTCTACAAATATTCTTAAATGTCTATAATTGGTAACAGAAGCCATTGGTTTATACCAACGGCTTTCCATATTTCATACTTCTACAATTCACTCTTGTGTGGTCATGTGTGACGTCATGAGATGCGGTGCGATTTTCGCTTCTAGCGTCTTATATGCGCGTGTTTATCGTTGCTTAGAAATCATCTATGTAAACATTGACAGACTATCATCACTGTCTTGTCCGTATATTGCTTAATATGTTGTAATTGACATCTTTGATAATGGCTTATGTAAGCCGAAAGCTTAGATTGTATTAAAAAATATGGATCAATATTGTGAATTTTTTTTCTTCGTTCAATGATAATGTTATTAAACTTATCAGACGTTACGAAAAAATTTACATAAAATAAATAGACAACACTTGTCTATATTATTTAATGAAAAACATGAATATATAATATATATATATATATATATATATATATATATATATATATATATATATATATATATATATATATATATATATATATATATATATATATATATATATATATGTGTGTGTGTTATTTATATATATATATATATATATATATATACAACACAAAAATAATATATATATATTAAATCATGATATAATATATATATATATATATATAAATATATATGTTATATATATATATATATATATATATATATATATATATATATATATATAAATATATATATATATATGTTAAATAATA